AAAATTATTTTTTTGTTCTTAAACCCTTCCAATGATTGGTTGTGTTTTTCCATAGCTTTCAAATGTATAAATACGTTTCTACTTATAGTAAAATTAACATTATAAATTAACGTCACGGTAAACAGTTAAATAGAATCGATAAGGTTAATTAAATCACATTTAATAAAGGCTCGCGTTCTGGTTTAAACATTGAGCTAGTTTATAGAACCTTCCACCACCGTTTACATTCACTTCTAAATTAAAGAAACTCCTACTGTACGTAGAGGAGACAATCACGAGTACACATACATTCACACATCTATAAAACGTACGTATACACTCACACTTTAGTAAGCTTATAATCTCTCAACGTGGCGTTCCCCATGAACAAAAGCTCGGCTTTTCAACTAGATTAAAGTATTCCCTTTTTTTTATTATTATTTTTTTTTTTCAACTTTTCCAGCTCTTTTTACTTTTCCCGCCAATTTTTTTACTGACACGTAGCTGATAGGAAAATAAAACAATAGTTAATATAGTTTAAAAATATAATTGAAATTCGTTTTATATAATATGAAAAATGTATGTTTTTTTTTTTAAATTTTAAATAGATGAAATTTTCGTTTTCTTTTCCCATTTTACTTTCAAATTGAGTGATCGAGAAATGGCGCTAAATTCGAATAGTTTCATTCTTGTCGTTTATTCTTTTTCTCTATGTTATACTGTTTTCATTCTTTTCAATCATACACATACATGCATACATACATACATACACTGCACCTTACTTCGCATTCGAGGAAAATATCGTGCACTCGAAGATCTCGAACTGAACTCTGAACTTTGAAGAATCGAACTTTCTTAGAGATCATGAGTTGCACTTTACTTGCTGAAAATGTCAATGCTCAGTAAGTTCAACCTTTTATAGGACTATTCTAAAAATATTTTTCAGAAAATAAAGAAGAAATAGAAAAGTGGTGATTTCTAGTATCCTAATAATTTTCTATTCCACATTTCAATTATTAATTTTCCATCCTATTTATTGAAATTATTGTCATGAAAAATCCCATCAAGTTTACGTATGTTAATTTCAATAAAATAAATGAATAAGAAAATTCATTAAACTTATATTACATATATACAGGGGAAAAAAAAGAAAAAGAATAAAATACACAAATGAATAAAATTAACAATTTTTAAATAAAAGAATATTTACGAATTAAACAAATAGCTTTCGATGTTACAAAAGCACAGAAAAAAAAGATCTGTTAAAATTATATTTAGATTAAATTATTCTACCTATTAAAATACGTATAGATAAATAGAATGATGATCTATTTTATATTTAAATCTTATTGGTTAGAAAAATAATAATTAAATATAAATAATGTTTTGATGATAATCACGAACTCCGAGGTTGATTCGACGAAAAGGTTGTTCGCGACTAGGATGCTAGATGAATACTGAGGCACGTCATCGGTTGCCGGTTTCCAACCCCCTTCTACGACTCTACTTGCACCACCACCACCAGCACCACCACCACCACTACCACCCCCAATACATCTTTCTCACTTTGACTCCCTCGTACACCCTCGTACACCTTCGGCAAACGCGAATACCCACGCAACTGTTGCGCCCACGCCCAACGACGATCATCATCCCTTAACATTTTTTTTACCACCCCCATTCTACTCTTATTTTCCTTCTATTCCTCCTTTCTCTATTTCTATTCCTATTTTTATTTCTTTCTCCCTCTCTCTCTCTCTCTCTTTTTTTCGCTTTTAATCACACGAGCTGATATTTCTAGAAAAAAAGACAAAAAAAAATATTTAAAAAAAAAGTTACACGTAGAATGAAGAAAAATATTTTTTATAGGGAGAAACGATTCTTTATTTATATTCTGTAAATGTTTTTTTTTCTTTTTGTTTGTTTTTATTTTTTCGAAATTGTCACGATTGAAATGTAAAGAGAATATAAAATGTATTTAACAAATACCCATACATTAATATTTTATCATGTGTCTTTCATTTGTTAATTAAAAATTATTTAATTAATTTTTTTCTTTTTTGTTTTTTAAAATCACACGAGGTGGTAAAGAACATAAAATATTTTATTGCAATAATTCGATGAAAATGTAACAAATAAAATTATCAATACTCGAAATGTATCGATGCATATGTTTTTTATTTCTCAAGTTTTGTATGCAACCCAAACATATGTAAACAAATACAAACGTATACATGCAAACCCGTATTTGTATTATCAGAAATAGGCTAATTGCAGAAGCGAACACAATTCTCAAGCTTTTAATTTCGTCTTTCAAACTCTAACGAAATGAAACGAGACAAGACAAGACAAGACGATACGAACGATCAAAACAACGAGAACAACAAAACAACGTTTGTTACGTTCGAAACAATCGTGAAACACGGATACTAATTATTTTCTATCGGCAAGGATTTCCAACGCTTAAAGTTTCAACTTCGTAAATGCTTATCCTTCTAATTAATTGACCTAGATTTATCGAAAGAGCAATGCGAGTTTCTCGAAGTCTTCTTCTCTTCTCTCATCGAGACACGAGAAGTGACGTCCTTGTTGAATTTCGTTTTCCACGTAGGATCAAATTGTTCTAGAGAAAAAGTAAGAAAAGCATAAAACAAAAAAATTGCAATAGAAAATAAAAAAAAAATAATAATAAGACGAAAAAATAACGAGAAGAAAAATAGAAAAGATCAAAATTGGATGGGTACTCTTCTGGGTATCATTTTTAATTATTATATTTTAAATTGTTTATAGTATTTTTGGAACTTCATTCACTTTCATAATTAATAACACTTTGTAAATTATATACGTTCAATGTAACATATAAATAAAATTAAATGATATGAGCAAAAATACTTGATGAATAAACCTATTTTTATGACGGTGCCCATATAAAATACAATACCATCATAGTATTTTGTACAATTTTGATTTTAAATTTCTTTGAAATATGAGAAACACTTTGAGTACACTCTCTATATTTTATTTCATCCCCCCACCCTCCGTTTCTTTTTGGTTATCGATGAGAAAAACGAACAGACCGGTTATACAATCGATATTGGAATTTTGGGATACTCCTCATCTTCAATAGAAAAAAAAAAATAAACAAAAAGGAAAAAAAAATAATAGTAAAGTTAAAAATAAAAGATGACCGATCTGAATATATATATATATATATATAAAGCTAGTTCAGACACAAGAGAATTTTAATTAACCAATTAGTTAATCCTTAACAAGTTTTTTACTTTTTCCTAAAAAAAAAAAAAACCCCTCGTTTCACGCGCTTACGATTTTACTAATAAAAAAAAAATTGATAAATTTCAGAAGAAAGAAAGAAAGAAAGAAAGAAAACCCCAAAAAGTGAAATAAAAGAAGATTAGCTCGACTAATCTAAATCCATCCGGAATGCTTCGTATCCTTCGTATCCTTCGTAACATGGAAAGGATATTGCAAAGCCAGTAAAACGTAACCACCCCAATCCAGCCGATCAACACGATTTCTATTGGACATTTTCCAATCAACAACGTGTAAAACAATTAACGTGAGAAAAACCTCGTATAATTTGTTCTATGACCATTTGCGATATTTAATTATTTCGCGAAAAAAAAAGAACAAAAGGAAAACAAAAACAAAAACAAAAATAAAAATAAAAAATAAAACAAGATTATAAAAATAAAGAAAAAGAGAGAATGCGTTTTACCGTGACTTTTACTATGTCTTAGTAACTACAACCCCTTTTTTTCTTATTTTTTTTTTTTATTTCATATATCCGTATATACGTGAAGACCCCTCTCTCTTAGTTCACTTTAACTCGCGTTCGTCTTCATTTCTCGAACTACCACTCGGATTTAAGGGTAGTACTCTCTCTCCTCTCTCTCTCTCTCTCTCTTTCTCTCTCTCTCTTTCTCTCTCTCTCTGAACTAAAAAAGCCCCCGGGTATTTCTGAAAACACTGAGAAAAAGCAAGGCCAACCTTTTCCTTTTTTTCTTCTTTTTCTCTCTCTCTCTTTCTTAATTTTCACCTTTCTTCTTTGTAAGAAAGAGGTTGTTCTTTTGTCACGTGAAAGGCATCATTTAAAAAACAAAAAAAGAAAAAAGAAAAGAAAAGGAAAAGAGAAAAAGAGAGAGAGAAAGGATTAGACTTCTCGAGAGTTTGAAATTTCGTGTCGTTGAACTTTAAAATGTTCAAAACTTGTATTGCAACATGAACACTTTTGTTAATATAACATTGTGTATTTTATGTTTTCATAATCATTAAAGTAAAGCCTATTACATAAGTAAATATTATTAAATAAAATTTAAACATAACAATAATAATAATAAATTTAATTAGAAATGAGTTGGTATACTTTGCTCATAAATATCTTGATTACACTGCACGCTCATATTTGTTTTTTATATTTTTCCGTAAAAAAAGAAAAAAAAGGGAGAAAAGAAAAAACCTTGTACGTAAAAAGTTCGACGAAATTTAATACGCTTAATAAAAAGGGTCAGAAAGCTTTCCATGAATTTACATCAATTCTCTGTTTTTGCCCTGGATAGTTTACTCTCTTTCTCTTTAATCAAAAAACAAATTAAAAAATTCCTTTTCTGTAAGAATGTAATTATATTAATTCTTTTATTATATAATCATGATTCTTTATTAACCATTAACGTTATATTACATTATCCACACGAATAATAAGGAAATTTGACTACCACGAATAAACATTATGATAAAAATAAATAAAAATAAAAATAATAATATAATATCATTTTCTTTCCTTCTTTTTTTTGTTATTTTGATATTTTTTCTTTTTCTCTAACATGTTTTGTGATTCAGTTTATCGGACACACCCACGTAAAAGTCAACTTCATTATTTGTATTCAAGGAAGAAAAAAAAAGGTAGAAGAGACCATCGATGAAATCAGGATGAGTGTCACGAGCGTGTGTAGCAGATAAAACCCGTTTGTTCAACGACGACGACGACGACGACGACGACGACGACGAAGACCACCACGACTTCAGACCTTCGATGGTTTTCTATAAAAGAAACGGTCGCCAGACTATATCCTAACAAACGTACAGAATGTTTCGTTCAATCTTCTTCGTTGCTCTCTTCCACCTCGGATTCTTATTTTCGATCATTTCAACGATCGATATATCGAATACGAAGAAAACTGATATCAGTTTAAGTGAAAACGATATTGTACCTAAAAATCAACTGGTGAGTCAACAACTAAAAAAACCAACAATAATAAATTATTTTAATTATTAATAATTTTCTTTTTTCATCAATTTAAATAAAAACTATGCAAACTTGTGCTATTATAATTCAACGTTAAAGAACGTTAATCAATTTATTTATCAGTCGAAATAAATGAATTGTGATATGCACACAATATACTTAAAAATTATTAAATTAACGTTAATTGCTTAGAATAATAAACGCGATTTGGAAATATGGACGCAAAAAGTTACAAAATAAAATTTTGAAATAAACACTTGAATAAAATGAATAAAAATATATTTGTTCAAATTTCTAGAAACAATTAGTACCATCATCAGATCGTTCGACGTCGTTCATTGGTGATGCATTCTCCGGCAATCGATATCCAAATGAAGTTGTTTACAGACGAATTTTACAGTTTGATAATCCTACCACAGAAATTCATAGTTTTTCGATGACTTTAAATGTACCAAACGGTGAGTATTAATTAATTAATTACGATTTTAAAATTAAATTGTTGTAAATATATGAAGAAGAAATTTGGAACCATGTTTATCCTCCGGTGACAATTCTAACACTGAAAAATTACTTTCAATGTAAATTGTATAAAAAATCCAAGCACGTATTTGTTTTTATTTTATTTCTTAACTTAAAATCAACTTAGTACATAAGATAGTTTTTATAATTTATTAAATAGTTTAGAATTATATCAACATTTTATAACAAAACTACAGCAACGCATGGTCGGAGCATTCTAATTTATATATAAATTGTTTGTTTGATTTTACTTAGGTATTATCAACTATGTGAATATCATGAACAATCAAGGTAGTTATGCTGTTGCCTGTATCGACGAATCAACACTCGAATCATCCAAAGTCCTCGTACATTATCGCATACCAGCTAGCAGTACTTCAAATTTACTGCTCATCGTTGCAGCACATTGATTACAATTTCTAATTAAAATTAATCTTAAGAGTTATAATATCTTATTTTATTTCTAATTTTATTCGACATCAAATGAAACACGATGTTAATTAAATTATTGTTATAATTATTATTACAATACTGTGATAACAATAAATATTTTTATTCTAATAAGATTTCATTCTTATTATCCTAATCCAGGGGTAGGCAATCTTTTGAGTTGGAAGAGCCAAAAATTACAATTTACAAAATTTCAAAGTTTTTAAAGAGCCACTCAATTTTAACTAAAGAGCCGCAGGTTGCCAACCCCTGTCCTAATCTAAACGATATTTAATTCTTTTTAAGAAAAAATTCTTCTTCGATTAATGTAAATGTAAATGAAAATCAAAATGAACTCCCACAACAAAACCACTCGTCGCGAAGTCGTTGTATATTGTAGACAGGCGTCAATATTTGTCATTCGAACATGAGAGGAATTTTACACCCATGCTGATTCATAATGTTAATTAACAAGGACGTATATACGTTTCCAGTGGAATGTATAATTAATCGAATCGACGAAACATTCGAATGTCATCTGACTATGGGGATACCTAATCGAATAGCACCAACGAAATATGCGTTATGATGATTCATGTAACATATAACGTGAAACATAATATAATGTGTTATTATAATCCTTATTTATTCACACCTTAGAAATATTGTAAGGTATTCAAACTAGACAATAATTATTGTACAAACTGTATTAAGCTGATAATTTAATTCTTTATTTAACACTAGATTGCCCGAGACTTTATATATTCTTATATTGCCTAAAAGCAGTCAAAATGACTGCTCTACATTTTATGCAAATAAAAGTGCAAATAAAATCTTTTTATGTGTACATCTTCCGTACACAACATATTTGCTACTAACATCTAACGCAAGATAAACAAAAAATCAGAATTTGGAAGGAATAAGAAAAAGGAAGAGTTTGGAAAAATAGAACCTTAGGGTATAAGATAATCCTGATTTATCAGAATAGAAGAAAGTATCTTTCTATCGTCTAGCAGGTATTCCTCTTCCATTATTTTCACTTGGAATTCAACGTCAATTTTCTCTCGAATCAGGATACACGTTTCCCCGTTGTAAAGCTCTTGTTAAAGAAGAAACAAAGAAAAAAAAAAGGAAAAAAAGAAAGAAGAAATTTCCCGCGAAAAGGGAACGGAAGATAAGAGAAGAGAGAAAGAAAATGTAAGTAGAGTAGAAGTTGGTCCCGTAGGAACATTCCTAACTATTAGAGTTACGAGCTGTTCCTTGGAGAAAAGTATAGTAAGCATTGATAATGTTGTCTCTGAGGGGAAAGGGATAATCTCTTTTACGTTTATTTCAGTATAACACTGTAAATATCTTCAATAATATATCGCATCATTATAAAAATTAATTTGCTTAGACAATTATATGAAAAAAAGAAAAAAAAAAAACAAAGTACAAATATTGCATAATCAATTTTTTTTAATGTTTCAATATTTTAAAATTATTTTGTATTAGCTGCAACAACAAATCAAATAGAAATTTTTCCGTATCGTCGAATCTAAAAACTTGTCAGTTCACATCATTTTATTTAAAATAAAAAATAATACAATTTGTGTATATGTGTGTGTGCTTAGGCGTAACTATTTGTACAAAAAGAAAATAATAAGAAAGTACTAATAAAAAATAATAAATAATAAAACAATAAGTTAAATAAGAAATAAAAAAAAAATAAAATAAAAATTAGCGAAGGGAGATGTGGGAGGAGTGAAAGTAGATGATGCAAAAACAGACTCATTGTCATACCTGGTAGAGAAATTTCATCGACCGGAAACAATGCGACTACGCGTACAAGAAATAATTACGAACGTGTTTCACGTGGTAGTTGTAATCCAAATTATAAAACACACTCATACACACGTGAACGTATAAAGAGTGTGAGGGTGCGAAAAGAGGAGACTATTAAAGATAGGATTGTGTTCACTTGGATAGTGTGTAAAAGGTGGAAAAGTACTAAGTTCTCTTTCTCTCTTTCTCACATACACATATATAGACACACAAATACACATAAATATCATGATGACGCATTTAAAACTAAATTGCACTTTCAGCAGTAACTTCGATTGCGGATAATAAGAGAGGGAGGGAGGGGAGGGAGGGGAGAGAGGAGAGAGGGGGAGGGTGTATGTACCGAACGATACTTTTTCAAAACCTTAAGATTAAAGAACTTCCTTAGTCTTTCGATCGATTATCGATAATTAAAAAAAAAAAAGGACTCCTACTATTCCGTGTCATATGAAAAAATAAAAAGAGTCTTGACTTCTTGATAAAAAAAAAAGAAAAAGGAAATAAAAGAGAGAAAAAGAGAGAGAGGAGAAAATAAAACAAAGAAATAATATAATAATTGTTAGTTAATCGAAAGAAATGTGTGTATTGTTGTTTAAACACACCAAGTATATGATCGGAGTACCGTCCTCTTCGAAATTCAAAATTCTTATATTTAATATTGTTTATATGACTTTTCAAACGTTGCGCATGTGTACAACGGCAATAATATTCCCAATAAAGATAATTTAACATTATAACAATCAGATTTTAACATTCTTTTTATTCTAACGTTATTATTTTATCACTCTTGCACAATGATGACTAGAACAGTACAATTTTCTCTATAATGGAAGTAGTATGCATTAAAGTATTAAAATAAATTTTAATTAATCAAAGAAAATGTCATTGTTCTTACAAACACGATTTCTCTACTCTTTCATTAATATCCCATGTTCTAAGAAAATGAAAGAATGAATACGCCTGTGTATGTGTGTCTATGTGTGTTTAAAAAAGGACTAGAGAGAAAAAGAGTATAAGAAAGGATATTTTCAGAATGATTAAGTTATTCCAATCACGAGGATCGTTAACTCTTGGCATGAAACGATGAAGAATCTCATGGGGCTTTTGAAAGTTACATGATAGTTTAACCGAAGAAACATAAACCATTAGATTCAAATTTGTTCTTATTATTTTAATAATTCTTAAAATATTTTTTCTTTAATTTATATCTTAAGTAAATGAGTTAAAAAGAAAAATTGATGAATTAGGATACGTGTAGTATGGAAGGAAACGTTGTTTAAGTATTAGCCTAATTGATAAGAGAACTTGTCATGTTATATCACTACTAGTAGTAGTAGTAGTAGTAGTAATAGTTGATGTTGCTCGTTAAGCAAGAAGCCGAACTATGCGATTTATATAGTCATCTCTTTGGTATTAAAGATAGCATTATCGAGGAAGTTGAGAGTTCTTCGGGATAATCCTGTTATGAGTCAATCTCAGCGTCAAAAATAAGGAAGGCCTCGTTTGAGGACGCTTTAATCCTTATAAAGCTATCGTATAAAGTATTTCAACAAAACAAAACAAAAATAGACAAGAAAAAAATATAATCGAAAAAAAACAAAAATGAATATGAAGAGAGAAGGATTAAAACGCGATTAAAAAGCGTTGTATATTATACTATAAAATTGCATCAAAATTATAACGTTCAAAAGAATTTGAACTTTACGAAGAAGTTTCTTATATAATTATATAAAAGAAAATAATTGAAATACCAAACCAATAAAATTAAAACACAAATATTTAAAAAAAAAAAGAAATAATTAATTTTGTATTATTTATTATTTTGATTGATGTCAAAAAAATATTATTGACGAAATAGTATTTGTTAAAAATATCAAAAAAAGAGATATGCATCGAAAATGAGACAAATTCAGCGTTCACTCCAAAGTTTATAGTTTTTTTTTTTTTTTATTCTTTTTCTCTTCCTCCAACGCTTTTAACGATACGTGCACGTTCAGTCCTCGGACTAAATCCCTTTCCGATATCTTTCGAGAGAAAGGAAATTAAATTTGCTCGAATATCCAAGCGAGCATCGACGAAAGAGAAAGAAATAATAAGTCGATCGCGCGAATTCACCCTCCATCTACTCTCAAACCCATTGTAGTCAAGTTCACGTTCGTTATTTATGTCTCTATTTCCAAGAGAGCTTATATTATATTCTATAATTCCTATCCGAGTCACTGCCAGAGATTCCCGGCAGCAAGCATGCGAATAACTACTCGATAAGTATAATAAAAAATAATTCCAACTACAAAATTAAAATAAAACGAATTAAATGAAATACATAGACGTAATATTCTACAAGGGTTAGATATTACATTTTTATTTGTATTATTACTATTACTATTATTATTATTATTTTCAATTATTCAAACATCTCACAACTCAAAGATCAAAAATAAAACAATAACTATTAATTATAATTCAAATGATTAAAACTCCACTTATTTAATATCTAAATACCTAGATAATACCTAGTTGGTCCCAAACCCAAATAAAAGAGCAGGGTTCAAGGGAGACAACAACACACAAAACTACACCATGAAAAATCTTTCTAAATGAATCTTTAAAACGTGACTTACATAAACAAAAATATACATATATATATAAAAGAATCGAATAAACAAAAGAAATGTAAAAAATACTATAATACCTGGAAGCATAAACTTAAATCTTACCTTTTAATTCGATTATTATACTTTCTTGGCACGACCAAGCTTATCGATCGATCTAATACAACAAGAACGTTTGAAGAAGAAAAAGTTTCTCAATGGCCAACTACGTGATCTGAAAATAAATTAAGTCAATAAATTATCTATACATAAATATATAAATATAGATATATCATTTAATGAGTACTTTCAATTATATCGCAAATTGGGTATCCATAGCAAGAACTGGTGACAGGTAATTAAAACGGTTAAGCCTGATTCGCTAACAATATATTGTATGATGGGTCGTGGGATCATCAAGTGATAAAATGTTTGACGTTGATTGATCGACTATTACACAACAATTTATCCGATATCTTATTCAGCCGCGAAATTTGAAAGTTCGTTCGATTGACAATGTTGCCAAAATAATCTAAGTTATGTTATTAGATATAGTTTTTTATCAAGTTAGATATAGTTAGATATAGTTGTTAGATAGTTTTTAATCAATTTTTAATATACACATGACAATATTTTATAATCAATTTTATATTATTTTTTAAATAAAATACTTATTGTTAGTTTGATAGAAAAAAAAAACATATTTTCTGATTGAATATTTTGCAATACATTCGTGTAAATAATTTGTTAATACAAATATTATAATTTTATACTATCATTTCTTCAAACATTTTTTTTCTCTTTTTATTCATTTATTTACTTGACGTTTGTTGGAATTCATCAAAGAAAAAAGCTTTAATTACAAATTTCATTGAGAAAAGAAAAGGAAAACGTTTTAATTAATCGGCATTCTATCCCACAAAGAATGTTATTTTTCTTTTTTTTTTGTTTTTTGTTTTGTATTTATTTATTTTTATATAAAAATCATAAACGAGTAGAAAAAGGAAATTTTTGAGAACCATCGGCAGCATTGCAGGTAGTCCTGTAACGAGCTTACAAACTCGTGAAGCCCTTTCGATGTATGCTAGGCGCACTCTCGACAAGTATCAACGAGAAAACTTCGTAGTTTCGTTCGACATTTGCGCGAGATTTTCAACACACTTGCGTTACAACATTTTTTCCCTCAAGCGAAAGTAAGAAAAAACAAAATAAAACAACAAAGTTTGAAATTGGTCTTATATTGGTCTTATAGTGATTGTGAGTTATTTCAATTGTGAGTGAATAACGTAACAATAATTTATAAACGTTTTGTAGAAAATATTTGTAAATGCCAAATTTAAAAGATACATATTACAAAATTCTGTAATACATTTAAAATTAAAAAAATGGGATCAGCAAATTTGTTTGAAACTGGTAAATTTGTTCAACAATTTTCGATTGTTCTATTCGATGCTGATCGATCGTAAAAAGAAGAATCAGAGAAACAGAAAAGGAGAGAGAGAAAGTAACTAGAAGTATAGTGAGTTCAAACAAGTATTGAGAGTGGTCAACTATTTTTGTCATGGACAAGTTTCGATAGTGCATTATGCGAAGTTCAAGTGGGAATAACGATGATAGCAAAAGTTCGCTAACTAGGCGACCCTTCAAGCCATTTTCTCTCTCTTTCTCTTTGAATCATAGAAAATGAGATTCTGTTCGTGACAGGGTATACAGAACTGTTAAATAATATTTCATTCAATTAACCCGATTTCATCATTTTATTTATCGATCAACTTTAATTATGTAACAATATTAAAATATTTACTTAACAATTCATAAGATTAATAATTAATAAATTAATAATTTAGAAGCCCTAATCGTTGTGAAAATTAAAATATTAATTTTGTAAATAATTTAATCGATCGAAATGGTAAAGGAAAACACGTGGATCATTTAATGGTGGGAAAGTTAATCAATGATTTAGTGTGTGTCTACGATAAAAGATACTTTTATCATTTTTAGGAATTCTACATAAAATATACTGTCTGTATAATGTGTCTATTATAAATTCGTTGATCGTCGTCATTCGATAAACATTCTTTTTCTTACGATCTCACAGTGTCAGGACACAGTTAAATGTATTAGTTCTCTCGATTCGACTAATGTCGGGAGTTCGTTGAGAGAGTCTCGACGTTGAGAAATGCCAAAGCAACATCATAGTTTACGGTGGGCAATTAATAGCAAGCTAGTAAACTCTTCTCAAATATATATATGTATAGTAGTATACTAACTCACAAGGAGAGCAAATGTCACTGGCCGTTCTCACGTAAATATCTTTCTATCGAATGTTTTAAACAACTAACACCGATAATAAAAAAACATTTTTAATCAATTTTCATTTAATTCAAATCAAATTTTTATAACAAATATTACAATAACATAATACATAATTTTATATTAAAATATAATCCTAAATAACTAATAAAATAAAATAATTGTTAATCATGTCAATAAACAAAGATGTGAAATAGCAACGAAATGATTTATCATAAAAATATGAAGCTTTAAATTACCATAAAATTTCAATCTACAAACGAATGTTTTTGCAAATTAATACAACAACAAAAAGAAAATGGAAAGTGGCATGGCGCGTAAATTTAATTTAAAAAGATAGAAAAATTCTATTAATTAATTAATCTTACCGGTTGATCGGTCGTTGTGATTCGAAGTATTAATTGAGATGCAGAGTTTCGCGTATGACAAAACTTCTGGAATACGAATACGTAAACTACTTCCTCTCATTTTCTTTTTTTTTTTTGTACGTATAAGCATACGAAAGTGTATGTGTGTGTGTGTGTGTGTGAATGAGAGAAAAAGAGAAAGCTAACTCGAACGAATACATAATCACTTCCATCCCGTATCGATTAACGTAAGAATTTCCTAATTAGTACGACGATCACATTGGGGTACGTTTAAATGCAATGCTTCTGACATGATTCTAATGGTGGTACTTCTAACACGATCGAAACTGAACACGTTAGAGCGAGTTTCAATCCAAGATGAATACTCAATCAACGATCATTGAACCCATTAGCTCTTGGAATTCTAGCTAGAATTTAGCAATAATCAAATGGAAAAAACAAATTTAACAATAAATTTATTCTTCATTTATTTTTCAGATGTAATTTCAGCATTTGACAAATATGAAGAAACGAATGAACAATACTGAAAGTAAAAATACGAAAAATCGTTCAAACGAGGATAAGGATAAAAATGATGAAAAAGATAAAGACAAGAAAACTATACAAAGATTGGAACAAAACGAAGATACTTCTAATCAGGGTTTTGGAGAGTGGCTTAGATCTAATGACGGTGCAGAAATGATGAGACTATTTGTAATCGCCAATTCACTTTTATTGTTCGTCACGATGGCTTGGCCTAATATGAAAGAATCTTACTATTTCATTCGTGATTATTTTATGGGAGAAGAGGACGATTATTGAACACTAATTTACTACTTTCTACTAACTTTCGAAAGAAATAGCAAGAAGATCGTGTGTATTTAATTTAATTTTTCTTTCTTTTTATTATGGTATATTATTTTTAAACGAACAAGAAACTTGATAATCGTGAAGAAACCATTTCGAAAAGGAAAACTTTCTTCTTTTTTCTCTTGGTGATTTAAAAAAAAAAAGCAAACCATCATCAATCAAAATGTTGGCGGCTTTCATTCGATGCGCATTTCTCATAGGAATTCTTGGTTGGTACAGCATCAGCGTGTGGAAAATGATCGACGGTTATTTTAGAGATCAATTTGCCAGTTACCTGCACGAGGAATATCGAAAAAATCCCCATATGAAGTCTGACGTGAAGGATGTCAAGGGTACCGATAAAAAAGATAATCACGTTATCGACGGGAACGTTCTGATACAAAAACTTGAGGAACTTCAACGAAAGGAAAGTTGTTCCATCGATAAAGTAGATTCCGAACCAAATGTTGAATCTTGTGAAATTGTGGAAATTTCTAAATTAATTGACCGACCGAACGAGCCCGTTGAAAAGAAAGAAATTTTGGAGATCATCGTTACGGAAAAGGAAGATTCGAATAACGATGAACAAATGTCGATAAAAGGGCCCGACAAAATTGCGGAAATTTTGCAAAAGGAAAAACCGAAAAAGAAAAAACTTATCTCGAAAAAAGAAGAAGAAGAAATTGAAGAAGAAAAAGAAAAATCCAAGAAGCGTAGTAGGAAGAAGAAACGCGTTAAAACTATCACTTTGAAAGAAGAAGATTTTTTAAGCGTCAAAAAGAGACAACGGGGAACCATTGGACAGGATGAAGATTTTTGGGAATTTGAAGAGGACAAAGGGGAGGGTGAAAAAGAGAGGGAGGAGATGAAGGGTATACGAGTGGCCGATCTTCCATTCAAACCAAAACTGGATATTGGTCGTTTGGAAAGAATTACGCCTGATGAATACTGCCCTTTGACCTTGGAAGACGAACTTTCTTGCGAGGAAACCACTGAGTGGTCCTTCAAATAATAATCATGACTAGTATGATGATCCTGATGGAATTTTAAACGAAATTTAAACGAAAATTCGTCCGTTTTACAATTTCAATTTATGTTTGTTTAGAGTTGTAATGTTCTACATTTGAATAAAAAAAGAAACAAAAAATTATGGACGAGTAGTATAAACAAAAAAAAATGGGACAAATTTATGCTACTATCTAATAAATATAAAACAATAAATAATACAATAATATCTATCTATCTATATCTATATATATATACATATTACATTTATTTAATTAATTTTAATAGTATTTAATAGAAAAAAAGGTTTTCTTATCGAATCTTTTCTATTAACATGAAAAAAATCTTACTATTAGAATTTACCTACTTACTATTAGATTTTCTTGATCACCTGTTAACCGAGCTGAGGAAAGACTCAAGCATATTACACAAAGATTGCATTAATTTATTCCGTTTGGTGAGTGGCGAGTTGTAAATTTAAGAGTTATTACGCAAACTTCTCGTTACGATATAACTATCATACGAGTTTTGAACGTTGAAAATGCGTGCCCAAACGATTCAAATTATAATATTTATCATCCTTGTAACTGTAAACATTTCGCATTTCATGTTTTCTTCATTTTATAAAATGCATTTAACTTAACGATCAGCTTTAGCTAATACATATCTAATTATAAAACATATACAAAAAAAATTGTAATACGTTTGTTATTCAATTATGTTAATTATAATAATACAATAAATATATGCTTGAAAATGTTTTGAGGAGTAAAAAAGAGATTTGTAAAAAAACAAAAAAAAAACAACAACAAAAATTAACTTGTACGACAAGGAACAAATTTTCTTCATTTCCTCCTGTCGAAAATGATTACGTCGACGACTACTACTACTACTACTACTACTACTACTACTACTACTACTACTACTACTACTACTACTACTACTACTACTACTATAATGAAATAACTGATTTACGAAGCGGATACGCGTAACGTATGTTTAATGCAAATGAAATGCAATAAGGCGTAAACACGGGTAGCATAAGGAGACTAATCCTACGTCCTTGAGGCACATTGGCCGTCCTCCATGATGGATGAAATTTATTTTTTTTTTGCCTCTTGGTATCTTCATTCGCAGGTCCTTAAAAAAAATCATTTCTTTTCTTTTTTCTCTTTTTATAAAAAATTTACTTGACCACCTTAACCGAGTGACACCATTTCCCATAATTGAAATAATTCTTATAGGTTTTTTTCTTTTCATATTTAAAAAATGTATGATAAAAAATGATTATATATAAAAATTATTTCTAAAAATTATACCTATTTTTTATCAGTATATTTACATTTATATAATCATATTTGTTATTTATATATATTTATGTTTAGTATAAAATTAAATAGCATTTAAATGGATCATACATTTTTACAAAATAATTTAAAACATTTGAAAATTAATGCAATAATACTACAACTACAGGGTATAATAAATATAAAAAATATATCAAATAAATTTGTTATTAACAAATTTGATAGTTAAAAACGTATAAAAGAAAATTTTGAAATTTGTAACCGATAGCCTATTCCTACAAATCCATTTGATTCTTCTACGACATATACATATATGTAAGTAAATATGTGAATAAAAGTATATAAGTTTTCTACATATGACCAAAGAAGGTATCGGTTGCATTCAGAAGCGATGACGCTTCATGATCGTATGCGGAATACTAAAAACGATATAGTTCACGAACGGGAAATCGTTTACATTTATTTTTGTTTCCTTGTATCAATACAGACGTCTGCAATGAAAAAAGAAAACAAAAAAAAAATAAATACGCAAGTAGGTATTTCAATTATGTAGAATAAATTTCTAGAAAGATGGTGACCTTCGACGATAAAAAAGAAAAATAAGAAAAATAAATAAAACAGAAAAAAACAGACAGAAAGAATAAAAACAAGGTACTCGTTATCGCATTACGATTGACGATAACATTATGCAATAGTACAGAGGTAGAGTGAGTGATCATGCATGTTCTACAAGGTGTAACTAAAAATACGTGATTTTATTTGAAAAATAATTTTCTCAAATGTATCAAAACATCAAAATAAAAAAAAATAAAAAAACAAATAAAAATGTGTAGATTAGAATAAAGCAAGTTTATTTATTTTGTTAACGATTATTTGTGTCACCGAGGTGTAACTATGATTTATGATAAAATTTTAAAAATAATGTTCTCTTACATAACAAAACGGTAAAAATATATTACATTGAAATTAGACCGGAAATAATGAACATTAAGTATTTTATAAGATTTTTAAGTATGATCTATGAGTACTGCAATTCAGATTATTTATTTGAATTATGATACACTATGTTGATATTTATTTGCATGGGATGTTCCATGTAATCTCTATTTTCTATATGAATACAGAGCTTAGTTTGTTGGTTCGTTGAATTCCGAACGTGCTTTGAAATAATCTCACATTAGTTATGGTTGAGAGAGAGTATGATAATAAATAAAAATTTTGCGGACGTATTGAAACGTTCTACCATTAAATTATTGTCATTAAATTTCATTCCAGTAAATATAAAATAACTATCGAATCACAATTGAAAGTTTTATAACTGAAAAATACATTCTTTTAACTTAATTTTTTGTTTAATATTGAATATTTGTATAAAAATGATGTTTACTTGTAAGAAAATATTTTTAAAACATCTATCGATCAAATTTCAGTTATCATAATTAATATTATCAACTCGTGTATTTGTATTAATAAATAAGAAATATGATACACGCGATAGCAAATGAGAATTGTTTTAACATGACAGGGTTTAACACCACAGGGGCTCGAGTTAAAATAATTCAATATTTACAGATTCAAATTAATACAATATAAAAGTAATGCATTATTTTCTACGTTACTTTAGTTACACTCTGTATGTGCAGTTACATAGGTGTATCGTTTTACCTGTACTCACGGTCAATGAAGATATGTAATAAGTACGCAGGAAATGTGAGAGACCTACTGTATCTTTAACAACAAATTCAAGTATTTCACATATGTTTGTATGTACTACATTTTTTAGGTCAATAATTTTACAAAATTGTAATCCTTTTTTTGATTATTTCCACGTAAATCGTTCATTTTTTTCGCTACTTTAGAAAAACAAAAAAAACTGATTATTTATTTATTTGTTCTGTATTTTAATTATATGGAAGATAAAAATACTGAAAGAAAAAACACGTACTTATGTATGTAATATCTGAACGTTTAAAGGGAAGAGGAAATGGTAAGAAAAGAAATACTTAAGGTAGAGAACGCAAGGTAGGACGCAAGAAATGCGATTTTCTAACTAAACGATCGAGAAAAGTGCGTACCGGCAATGGCCTCGTTCGTTCACCACGATGACCGTCAATTTTCCCAGCAAATGACGACTTCCCGCTGTCGTTCCGATTTCCAACTTCTTTATATCTATTTTATCTACCTTCTCTTTCTTCACCTTTATTTATTTCATTACGCATTCATAAATGCGATAGATTCAAATGATGATTCGTTTGATCGGTAACTCCAAAATTTACGATTTAATTTTTTATCAAACAAAATGAATTGACAAACGCACAAACAATGAAATAGAATCATTAATAATATTTTAATCTTTCCGTAAGTTAGGTTGCATTAAAATAAGAGGAGAGGAAGATATGGTTGATAACGAACGTAGGTAGTAGCATTTAATCAAAAAAAAGAAAAAAAAGAAGTAGAAAAGAAAGAAAGATAGACAAGTACGCCTACCATCGTTTCCGGAGAAAAAGTAAGAGGAAAAGGGACGGATAGATAGGAGGACCCATAAAGGAAAGGAGAAAGATATAGAACAACAATGGTCCTAACACAGAACCAACGACGACGACGACGACGACGACAAAGATAACGAAAAGGTGGACGAGGAGGAACAAGGGGATGAAAGAGGTGGTGTACGCGCCAAACAGTTTCCAGATTCCAACTATAGGAGAGTCGCTCGAAAACTCGTCTCTCGAATACCTGTTGCTCCTTTATCTTCTCTCTCTCTTTCTCTCTTACTCCCTTGCCGGAAGAACTAAACCCACCACCAGGATAGAATTGTGTAGAAAATTATAGACTCCATATCTCTTCGATGGAATAACTCGTCCAAATCAAATCAACGCACAAAACAAAATTAGATTAAAATTTCTATTTCAAAATCCAACGAACAATGTTGTTAATACGAATGCTAATGGTGGTGGTGGTGGTGATGGGGCGGTGGTGGGAGGGAAACGATTATTAGTGACAAATATATATTCGTCCTGTTTGCTGCATCAATTTTTCTAAAATAAAAAAAATATGAAAACATACGTAAATTAATTTCAATTATAATTAATATATAATATAAAATTTTTAATTGAATAGAGATTTGTGTGTTACACCGTTGATTAAAGTACACTGTATTAGTATAAATATTCTTTCTATTTCACTTCATTTTTGAAACAAAAATGTCAAAAAATACTCAATTAATTTATAATATAAAAACGCAAATCCTATATATAAATGACTTAATTAAATATAAATATGTATTCTAAATTATAAAAGATATTTGTCTTGTTGACTCAATTTAAAAACAAATACAAAATGCAGCTAAATTAAATAAATATAATTGAAGTGCAAATAATTGTTGAATATAATTTATATTTTCTATATAAATAATGAATGTTGATTATTATCGTAAATCGAAAGTTAAGTGAAAACAGGACGAATAAAAATTAAAACTGAATATTACACATTTTTCGTAAATGAAAGTTCAGTGAAAGTTTCTCTTTGATATAATGAATAACAATAAAAAATATATATAAAAGGATTGAAATAACAATAAATTCATAAAAAGAGTTAATTGTTCGATAATAATAATTGATCAATTATTATTAAAATTATAACAAAATGATTATTATGTATAGTAAATCTCTTTGGAAACTTTCGCTAGGGAGAGAGAGACCTGTTGCACGTGAACCTTCGGACCCCCCGTGTGCGCATTCCAAAAAGGTAGGAGGAAGAAGAGGCGAGAAAGAGAAGGAAGGAACTAAGGAAAGAGAACACCATAGAAAAAGACAGCAGCAGAGACCGAGATAGAAATAGAAAGAGAAAGAGAGAGAGAGAGAGAGAGAGAGA